ATGAAGCTAAAAACTATCAACTTTTAATTGCAAATGAGTCTTAAGCAAGAATTGTTTGCAGCAAACTCCACAGCCAAACATACATTTAAACTGCAACGGTAACTTTTTATCTGATAGCAAACTTTCTAGGTTCTAACTATCGTACTACTTTTTTGAATTTCATTGTATTTTTCAGAATCAAGCCTTGAAAAATATGATTGGATCTACAAGAGTGCTTGATGGTCTCTAATACTTTGATGAACGTTCTTTTAATTTAGTAATAAAATAACTCATAATCTTGGTAGTATTATTTTGCTAGGATATTCCAGTTTTTTCTATCTCAAACATTTATTTCCAAATTTATTTATGGGAATTGACTGTTCCTTTGATAATGAAAGTTGCATTTGGGCCAAAAATCATCTTTCTACTTATTTTTCAAAACCTTATAAAGCTTTAAGACTATTTTATCTAATGCATAATGATGTTTGGATCTCTAAGATTAGTACTCACAATGGAAAACGATGATTTGTTTCAAATAGGCATTTATTTCAAGTAGCACGTGCTATAATGTTTTCTCACGACTGCATACTAATAAATAGGATGCCTAATAAGGTTTTAATTAAATCTCAAAATTTCCATTGAGTGCTTTAAATATGTTTTTCCAACATCTCATATATATTATGATTTACCTCTAAAAATTTTTTCGTGTACCATATATGTTTATATAACTAGTCAATTTCGATCCAAACTTGATTTTAGAGCGGTTAAATGTACATTCTTGGATTATCTTTCAAGTTAAAATAGTTATAAGTGTTTTAATCCTCAAACCAAACAACTATTTTAAATATGGATGTGTCATTTTTACAAAATCAACCATATTTTACCCATAACTCTCCCTCGTGGGGAGAAACCAAATTTGGAAGATAATTTTTGGGATACTTCTGTTTTTATTCTTAATCATATTTGTCCTCTAGTTCTTTGATGCCCAGTGTAGAAACTTATCATTCAACGGGAGAAATGCTACAAAATGATTCTACTAATCAAGTTTATGATTTTGAGTTTTATACTTGAAAAAAAAATCGATCAAAGAAACCAAGACCATATAGTTGATCCATCACAAAGCCAATTTGAGACTTCAAGAAATGAAACTGAAAATACTGGTAATCCCCCGTCTATTCCTACTATTCTAAATCCCTCATAGAGCCATACAGAGTCTTTGAGAAATAAAACTGAAAATACTGTCGCTATTCCTAATATTCTAAATTCTTCTCTGGTTGTCTCTGACATTGATGTTCCTATAACCATTAGAAAAGATGTACGAAGCTATACTAACTATCCCATTGCAAACTGTATCAAAAGTTGTCAAATAATCATAAAGCTTTCACATCTAAGATAACTTATTCGTTTGTTCCAATGAATATACATGAATCTTTAGAAGATCCAAATTGAAAACTAGTTGTTATGGATGAGATAGATGCTCTAAAGCAAAATTATACTTGGGAAATAGTAGAGTTGTCAAAAGATAAGAAACCAGTGGGATTTAAATGGGTGTTTACCATAAAATGTAACGGAGATGCTAATATTGAGAGATACAAGGCCAGATTGGTCGCTAAAAGCTTCACTCAAACCTATGGGATTGATTATCAGGAAACATTTGTTCCCGTTGCCACAATTAACTGTATTAGAGTTGTGGGTTTGTAAGGAGTGGAAACAAAGCCCCACATTGGTTAGAGAAGAAAGTGATCTATGGTATATTAGAAAGGACAATTATCTTCATTGGTATGAGGCCTTTTTGGTGGAAGCAAAAGCAAAACCTATAAATTTCTTCAGAGCCAAGCAGACCATATTTTGATTGTTTTGATGATGAAGCAGGTTTAGCTAATCTCAAGAAAAAAATTTGCAATTGAATTTCAAATCAAGGACCTAGGAACATTGAAATGTTTTATAGGGATGAAATTTGCAAGATTGATGAAAGGTATTTTTGTTAATCAAAGAAAATATGTTCTTGACTTACTTAGAGAAACGGGACTACTTGTTTACAAAATTGCATAAACTTCTATAGAATCTAACTTGAAATTACAAGTATCTGTCTTATACGACCTGATGATAAGTCTCCAAAAGAGAGTTATTATGGTATTATATTGGGCTAAATTGAGTGCAAATGAGAAAGACTTAGATATAAAAGCTCAGGAATTAAGTGAGAAATAGAAAAATCATATATGAATTCCTTACTTTATTAATTGTGGAAAAGTTCTAGCTTATCTCTATTGTTTTTGGGTTGATTTTTCAGAATCTGGAAGTATTAGAAGCAGAGTTGTAGAAGTAGAAGGAATTACTAGAACTTTCAAATGTTAGAGCGCCTAATGCTGGAGCATTGCTCACGGCAAACATATCTCGGCAGTGCAGTAAATATGTTTTTAGTGGAATTTACCCGCATTCGTACACCTGAGATTTGTTGCCCTAAAATCGAGGGACATTTTAAAAGGCCCATTCTCATAAATATCCATCAACTCGGATCCCAAGAGGAATGTTCAGACAGGTACCCAAAAAGATAGAGAGAAAATACCTATTTTTGAGTGGTGGAGGTAGCAGCTGCTCGTGACGTTTTCCGGTGGGTTTAGGACTGAATTTATGAAGTGCTTGGGCTGATGTCCTTACTACTCATAATAGGTTAGGTTGTAACTCTCTTCTTATTTTTCTTCTTTTTCCAGTTATGAACTAAACTTGTGTGCGAGGAGGCGGTATGTTTTAGAACGGACAACTTGTTGTAGCTAGACACATTTTCGCTACTAAGTACAAATGTTTTTATTGTTTATGGCTCTGAACGATTGACAAACCTTTGGAACTAATTGTTTTGTATGATTCAGAAGAATGTATCAAAAAAACATGGTTGGCTTTGCTTAATGTTAGTCTACATTTTTAGTTAGATTGTGGATTTCTAGGAATAGGGTTCACGTAATATTGCTCTTAAACTATTTTGTATGCTCAATTCTTAGTAACAGAAGTTGTGAGATGTTGTTACCTGGGTATTCCGAAAGGAAACCAAGTCTGGTTGAGCAGTAGCAAGTGTGTCGATGTTGAAGCACAAGCTGGTTTCGATATTTTAAAACGCAACTAGTCTCCCTCGTTGATATTTGAAAACACAACTAGCCTTCCTCGTGTTTTCACCTTGTCTAAATATTATTTTGCAGTCGCATCTCTTGTCCTAACATCTGTCTCTTTGTTGTTTTGTTGCCTCGGTTGCATTTGGTTTTTTTATTCTCGCTGTTATTTTCTGCTATTTTTTCTTCTCTCTGTTTTATTTTAATTGTGTTTGGTTACCCATTGCATAATTCTATTGTCTTAGTTTTTAGTATTTTTAAGCTAAGATTTCAAGTAAAAAGTACATTCCCGGTGGTACGACCTAGTTTATTACTACACTCAATTTTTGGGGTATACTTACATCTTGTTTGCACAAGAGTTGTGGGAATCATAACACCTGATATTGCGTTTGTTGTAATCATGGTAAGTCAATTTATGCATGCACCTAGACCGACTCATTTTGAAACTGCCTACAAAATATCGAGATATTTGAAAGGAAATCCTTGAAAGGGTATTTTATTGAAAAGGAATAATCACTTACAAGTAGAAATTTATACTGATACTGGGCTGGAAGTACTATTGATAGAAGATCTAATTCTAGTTACTATTCTTTTGTTGGAGGAAATCTGGTTAAATGGCGAAGCAAAAAATAAAATATGGTGGCCAAGAGTAGCGCTGAAGCAGAATTTAGAACCATAACCCAAAGAATTTGTGAAGGTTTATAGATCAAAATGATAATTGAAGAAATGAAGCTTCCTCAAACGCCTAATTTATTGTGACAACAAAGTTGTCATATCTATAGCTCATAACTCATTTCTACGTGACAAGACAAAATAGATTGAGGTTAAGAAACATTTTATTAAAGAAAAGATTAATATAGTTGCAATATGTATTTCTTATCTTCCAACGACAACAAATTGCTGATGTACTAGCTAACAGACTTTCAAAGAAGCAATTCAACAAGTTGAATAAAGCAATTCGACAAGCTGAATATAGAAGAAATCTCATCTTTAGACCAGCTTGAAGGGGAGTGTTGGAATTTTCAATATTTATAAATATTTATGTAAATATTAGTTAGCAATTTTCTAGTCTAGTGCAATAGGTTTCCTATTCTTTACTGTAATAGGTCTCTTATTCCTTTTTCCATTAGTATGTCTTTAGGTTGCACATATTGAAATATAACATAATATTTCTATCCTCTTAAAATTAAGACATTTAACAACAAAAATGAAGAAGACGATTAAGAGACAAAAGAAAGAGAGGCGAGAAGGGAGATGAAGAGCGAAGTGGAAGAAGATGAAGATAGAAAATAGGACTCGAGAGAGAGGATAAATGAGAAGGATAAGAGAGGAAATGAAGGAAAGCAATGAACGAGGGGAGATGAAAGAGTGATATGAAAATAAAAAATAAAAAAAAAATTAAAGTAATTATTCTTATGCATAAAATGCATGAGTAATCAGTCAAAGCATATGAGTAATCAGTCAAAGCATATAAGTAATCAGTCAATCAGATCGATATTTTAGATTTGTTTGCTCATCCCTACAATAAACTACTAATTATAAATAATATAAAAGAAAAGGCAATTAATATTATACTTACTAAAAATAAAAATCAATAATTATTTTTAGATTAACGAGAGATACTTATATATTTTTTTTTCTTTAGAAATATGAGGTATATACAGTAGGTGAGACAAGAATTGGCAATAGAAAAAGAGAGATAAATGTAACCAATATGAGAGATAGGGATAAGTTTACCATTGCCAACGGTGGCTTGCTATGCAGTCATATAGAGAATAATATTACAAAATACTTCATTCCTTGTTCCTATTTGAAATATTAACTCTCTATCAACATTCCACCACCAATAATGCAATCCCACTTGGATCATCCAAAAGCAATCAAATAACACACCCCTGTTCAAATTGATGAATGTTCATCTCATGAATCTAATCTTTCTGAATTTATGAAATTTAGAATTGACAAACTCAAGTTTACATAACTCTATATTTGACTCGTGAATCTATAATTTGTAAAAGCAAAAATGTAATATAGAAAGTAGGCTTTGAGTTTACATAACTACTAGGATTAGAAAGCTCTTAAGTTGTGATAAACAAACCTACGTCCAAGCTCAATGCAGTGTAATTTTTTTTTTTTTTTTTTGTGGATAATTTGGAGTCGGAGCTTTACTCACCTCTTGGCACTCGCGCCCGCCCCAAGGCCCACAAGCTCAACGTAGTTAGTTACACAAAATTTTACTTTTTCTTATAGAAGTATATATATGTACAAGAGGGGGCGGCAAAAAGACAAAGGGGTAGAAAAAGTGACACAGAACCAAGAACATGTAAACAGGACACATTAAAATGCCTCAATGACTCCCACTTGAACATACGGCCAATCCTTCAAAAAGTCAGCAGCAATCACGTTCATTTGATCCATACCTTCAAGTTAAGGCTATAGGGGTAAAAAAGTCCACAGCATCTCATGTGGAAAACGCATTCCAGCGCTAGAGAAACACGTGGCATGCTGTTGTATCGTAGAAGATCAGTCAGCATCACCAAGGCCATCACTCCCATCTCCTTTCTTGGAAATAGGTGCATAGTGAGAGCTTCCCTTCTTGGTTTGTGAAGCAATTTCGGCATTCTTCCTCAGAACAGCTCCAGGTGATGGGTATGGCCGCTGTTGAAATAGAGGACCCTGCCAATTTCACCATGTATGAGGGGAACCAATTATCCACAGCAAAGTATTTCCATTACAAAGAGGGGGGAAAAAACTAAGATCCTACACAATGAAGATTTGATAGAGGAACAAGAGGACAACCCATGTTCTAGCCACTATCTTGTGTTCATTGCAGACTATAGAATCAGTACAAGTCATAGAGAAGACTCGTGGCATCGTGAAAGAACTGTTTTAAGATTGGCAGAAAAAACAAAGTGTCGTGCTAGAAAAATATCACAGAAATGAACATGAAAGCATGGTTAATATTTTCAATTATTTCCTGTTCAGTGTGCAATTTGTCTTTTGGAAAATGTATTGGCATTCTAAAACATAAACGTTGAGCATTCAAATGTATACGGGAAGTTTTGGTATTTATATGCTGTACGTGACATTTCCATACATGAAATAACAAATGAGATACTGATGTAGCCGTGTATGGCCTTTCGGATAGCTTTAAGTCTTAAAGCTTAGCTTGTAGCTGGATTTCTTTTAAAACATCATTTTTACTGTGTAGTAACTACAAGTTACTATTAGTTTGTTAGTTGGTTGGTTAAGATCTCCCTATAAATAGAGATCCTCTCTTAATAAAGGCAATTGAGATATTCTTACTTTTCATTGAGTTTACTCTCCACCAGATACAGGTGGACTAGTTGCAACCTAAAGTACGAACTTAATCGTTCTTTGAAGTTCAAAATTCAACAAAATGATTAGTTACTACTTACTGTAGCAGTAGTATCTGCTGCTCGAGGTTGTACTCCTTTTAGACCCACAACCCTGGAAAGTAAATAAAACAATTAACTATCATCACTCCCCTTATTGGCAGAAATCCTAGATAATCAATCAGTATTAAACCCAGAAAGCTAATTTTCGAACACCTACCAGCCACCACGAGGAGCATCTGAATAGGAGCTAGGGTCCATCGGATCCAATTCATCATCCTCGCTGTAGGATCGCTTCCTACTTTCTCGTTTTCCACCTTTCCCCATTGGAGGTTTCCATTTGGACCTGGCAATCCATTTTCTATAGCTTAATAATCTACTCTTTCCCTATTTGTGGACAGAGTAATGCATCCGCTTCCCCGGAAAGACGTGCAGTGTAAACTTTACATTACAAAAACTAGGAAAAGAAAATACATAAAGAAGTGTACCAAAAAGTTCGATGAAGTATATTTAATAATAAACAACAACCATAATTCATGTACATATAGATTTGTATCTACATATTAAGTCATGAAAATATAATGATACTGGCGCTAAGACAATTCCAACTGTTATTAGGATAAAACTAGCAATATTATTAGGGTATTAAGAGTATTGGGGGGATTTTGTTATAAATAGGGTGTGGGAGTCTAGTGTGGTTTAGGCTTGAGTAAGAATATTCAAGAGTGGGGAGGGTCCAAGTACCACAAATTAGTAGTTATTTTATCTTTATATTTCAATATTATTCTAATGGTTTGGGTCATATCATAATTCCTAGAACCATCGGGAGTGTTCACTAAATCTGCCTTCAATCTCCTCAACACTCAACCTGACCAATTGGCTCCCACCCTTTACCTTTGCCTATGGCAAGGAAAATGTCCCAAGAAAATCAAATTTTTTTGCTAGGAGCTCAGCCATTGGGCTTTGAATACACATGACAGGATACAGAGGAAGCACCCTTACATATCACTCTCCCCTCACTACTGTCACCTCTGTTTTGGAGCATCAGAGACACAAGGTCACCTCTTTATTTTCTGTCCTTTTGCCACTCGTTTTAGGAACAGTGTTCTCTTGGCTTTTGGATGGTCAACAGCTATTCATTCGCAACCAGCCATTCTTCTAGATTGTTTTTTGCCGGGTTATGGTTTCATGAAGAAATTTCAAGGTCTGAAAGGGGTGCTCACCAACTGGAACAGAGAGGTTTTTGGCCCCATTGGCCTCAAGAAGATGGATCTTATGAAAGCCATAGATGCTTTGGATAGAGAGGAAGAAGTTCATTCTCTCTCTGAAGATGATTTCAATAGAAGACAGGGGCTAAAAGAGTGCTTGATTGAAACTACTTTCAGTGAGCAAAGATTGTAGATGCAGAAAGGGAAAATAAAATGGCTGCAAGGAGACGAGAACACGAACTTCTTTCACCGATGGATTGCATACAAGAAAAACCGAGCCTACATAGCTGAAATTCAAACTGAACAGGGCACCTCTTTGACTAAATGGGAAGATATAGAATCAGAATTCTTGAGATATTTCTCCTCCTTGTACTCCACCACCATGGACAGAGGCTTTCTATTTGAGAATTTGGATTGGGTTCCCCTCCAAGACTCCCATATGGCTCTTCTAGAAAACCCTTTCACAGCGGATGAGATAGGACAGACAGTGGCAGATTTGGGCACTCTTAAATCTCCGGGTCCGGATGGTATGAGCAATGAATTTTTGAAAAAGGCTTGAAACATTATTAAACCGGATTTGGTTACTGTGTTCCACGATTTTTTCGAGAAGGGAATTGTCAACCAGAAGACTAACGAAGCCTACATTTGTTTGATTTCCAAAAACTCAAACCCTCTTAAAGTCAAAGATTATAGGCCCATTAGTCTGGTCACTTCTTTATACAAAATTATTGCTAAGGTGCTTACTGCCCGTTTGAAACAAGTGCTCCCTAGCATTATTCATGATGCCCAAGCAGCTTTTGTAGAAGGTCGGAAAATCCTTGATGCTATTATGGTGGCTTCTAAGACAGTGAGTCAGTAGAAGAACTCGAAGAAAAAAGGCTTTCTCCTCAAACTTGATTTCGAAAAGGCTTGTGATAAGGTAGACTGGGATCTCCTAGATGTTGTTCTGGAGGCAAAAGGGTTTGGGGTTCGGTGGCGTAGGTGGATTAGGGGGTGCCTTTCTTCTACCAACTTTTCTGAGGCCAAGAGGGGCTTAAGACAAGGGGATCCCCTCTCCCCTTTTCTCTTCACGATTGTGGGTGATGCGTTGAGTAGATTAATTCACTTTTGTAATGAGAGGAATATTCTCAAAGGTTTCAATATTGGAAATAGTTCCTTAGAGGTGACTCACCTCCAATATGCCGACGATGTGCTTATTTTCTGCCCTTTTCAGCTCAATTAATGGAGAATTGGTGGGGTCTCATTCATGTGTTTTTATTGGCATCGGGTCTTTCCCTGAATGTCTCAAAAACTGCTGTGATTGGTGTTAATTGCACAAGGTCAGAGGTTAGCTTCTGGACTTCCTCTTTTGGCTACAAGATGAATTCTTTCCCTTTTAATTATCTAGGTTTCCCCCTCGGAGAGAACCACAAGACCACTACTTTTTGGGCTCCGGTGGTGGACAAAATGCACAAAAGACTCCAAAAATGGAGTTCTTTGCTTCTTTCCAAGGGTGGTAGGCTTACTCTTGCTCAGTCGGTCCTCAATAGTATCCCCATATACTTCTTTTCGATTCTCAAAGCTCCAGAGACAGTCATAAAGTCTATGGAGAAGCTTATGCGGGACTTCATATGGAACGGTGGGATTTCTAGATCGGTGGGGAATTTGGTGAAGTGGTCTTGGTCGGCTTTGCCTCATAAACAGGGGGGCATTGGAATTGGTTCTTTGAGGCTAAGGAACAATTCTCTATTAATGAAATGATTATGGCAGTTCACAATGGAAAGAGATAGCCTTTGGAGACGAGTGATAGCCAATATTTATGGTGTGGAGTCTTTTGGTTGGTGGACAAAACCTTCGGGTGGTTCTTCCATTGGTAGATCGTGGAGGGACATACAAGGGAACCTTAGAGCTTTTCAAAAGTTCTCCTTCTTCAAAATATCCTCGGGGGTCCAAGTCAGATTTTGGGAGGACTCATGGATTGATTCTGCCCCTCTTTCCACCACTTTCCCAGATTTGTTTGCGTTATCCTCCAAGAAAGGTATGTCCATTGCGGATTGTTGGTGTGTAAAGGCCTCAACCTGGAATCTTGGTTTCAGGAGGAATCTCTTTGAAAGGGAAGTGAGTAGATGGGCAAACTTCACTGGAAAAATAGAAGGTGCAGCTATCAGAAATGGAAGGGACATTTTATGGTGGAAAGCGGACCCATCCGGCCGTTTCACAGTCAATTCAGCCTTCATGGCTCTCACGTCCCCTTCTCCTAAACTTAATTCAGCTACTACAAGCTTGATATGGAATTTTAAAATCCCAAAGGTAAAATTCTTCATTTGGACTTTGTTCTATAGAGGGGTAAATACCACAGAGAAACTTCAAAGGAAATTACCTCATTGGACTCTTTCTCCTTCTGTGTGCACAATGTGTATGAGCAACAATGAAATAGTGGACCACCTTTTTCTCCATTGCCCTTTTGTTTCCAAATTTTGAGGGTTTATAGCTTCTTTGCTAGATTTCTCTCTTTCTTTCTCTGTATTCCTAGAAGAATTGAGGATTTCATTGCTGAAGGTTATGGAGGAAGGCAGCTCAAGGGCAAAGCTTGGGTTCTTTGGAATTGTGGGGCCAAGGCTCTATTATAATCGATATGGAAGGAACGGAATAGTCGGCTTTTTGAAGATAAGTTGATTTTGTTAGATTCTTTTTGTGTGAATATTAAGTATCTAGCTTCTTGGTGGACTTTACTACACAAGAAAGTTTTTTGTAACTACAATCTTCTTTTGCTTACACAAGATTGGAAAGCGGTGATTGTATAGAGCTTTGGGGAGGGTTAGCTCTACCCTCCGCCTTTTGTTTGTATCCCCTTTAGGGGCCTTCT